AAAACGGAATCGTCTTGGGTGCAACATCTGCTCTGTTTATGCATTAAAGAGAAAAGTGCCTGCGCTTTCGAAAATGTCGGATAAATAATGCCGAGTAATTATATCCCGTTTTCTTCTAGTGGGACGACAGCTACAGATTAGCTACGATTCTCTCGAAGGAAATATCTTTCCTCCTCGCAAGACATAACATCTTTAAATAATTTAATTATAATTTAATTATTAAAAAGCTGTGTGATAAAATTAAGTAAATACGTATTAACAATTTTGATATATTTAAACATTATTATCTCTCCTTCTCTCGCATGATGTATACATATAATGTTGAGATTTTTATAAATATATAAATTTTATGAGACATTTTTGACTTTTTAATGAATGTTTTGAATAATTTTAATAAATAACTATGCGATTTATATGCGTATTTATCATCTGCATGCAATCTGGAATGCAATAATCATACGCAAATGTCATTAAGTTTGATTAATCCGTGATATTCTGGCGTTTAATTTCCGTGCAAGCTCTCGTCATAATTATAGGAGATAAATCAGAATAAGCTGTTGTTCGAGATAGCCATTAACCCAGTTTGGATAATAAAAGCATGTCTTGAATTTTCATACTTTTATTTATCTATTTGTATATACATGCTTGAATAGACATTGATTAAGTGTATTAGAACAGCGAGTGGCGATAGAAATAATATTTTGTACGAGACGTCTTTATTTTTTTCAACAAGATACAACAAATTATGCCGCAAGTTATTACAGTGAAAATAATCGATAGTAATAATCTTAAGAGAGAATAACGTATCAAATAAAATCAATGAAACGAATCGTGATCTTTTAGGAAATTTAATTCTGAACAAAAAATTTCCTATAAACATGAGTCAAAAAATGCTTCCTGAAGAAGTTATCGCTCAAAAACCTCTGAAGGAAGAGCAAAAGGTGAAAAGAAAATGAAATAAAAAGAAAATGAAACTAAATAAATTTCTTCAAAAACGTCTTTATTCATTTTCTACTATTACGTGCTATTACTAAAATATTAGTTAAAAAAAATTATTTTATCTTCATAAAAGAAAAAGATTTTTATTTTTATCCTTTTTTTCAAGAAATTTATTTAGTTTTATTTTCTTTTTATTTCATTTTTTTTTCACCTTTTGCTCTTCCTTCATCAGAGGTTTTTGAGCGATAACTTCTTAAGGAAGCATTTTTCGACCCATATTTATAGGAAATTTTTTCAGAATTAAATTTCCTATAAGATCTCAAAGTCTGGCTGGAACGTTCGGGGCCACCCTGTATATATTTCCCCAAAGCTGTCTGAAAGTTTCGATTTCAATGTTTCATATAAAAACTGTTTTTTTAACTCGATTAATGGATATTAAACACCTGATAAAATTCTTCAGTATTTTTTCAAATATTATATTATTATTCATATTATTATTATATATTCAAATATCATATTATTCAAGTATTTCTTTAAATATTTTGAAATGCAACCGAGCTTCCTGTCGCGGTCCCATGTATTTTCCTTCTCCTTTTTAATTTATATAAATGGTGATCGCTCTACGCTGGACGAAAAAAAAAAAAAAAAAAAAAAAACTCGGATATTCGACATATGCGAGAACGTGGGAAACTTGGCCGATTAAATCTAATCAGATCGCGACGCGAAACTTTGTGCATTCTTAGCCTCTGAATAGTACAGGCGCATTCCTCGGAGGTCAGGGAGGAAGAAAGGGGCATCCATCGAATCGCTCGGTCATTCCAATCACGTAGTCGAGTTACAACGGTCCTCCCCCGCGAAGAAGAAGATTCCGAGTGGTTGGCGTTGCCGGTGCTGCAGTTCAGCGCTTTACAGTTTGCATACTGGTTGATTTACGGACGTGCGCTATACAAGGAATGTAATAGCGGACCTCTCGGGTTTGTTATTGCCGGTGCAACAATCGTTTGTATGCATTACTCTTTGCGGTGCCTGGCTTTATGCATATAATCTAGACGCCGGGATTCACAAGACGGGGATCGTTGCACACCAAGACGATGCGCCGGAAAACGCCTCTTGTCGTGTCTCGACACTTATTGCGTATCCTCGATGGAGGAGACGACGAATTACATAACGTCACAAATTATACAACATCCTTTGCGTTTAACACTTGATCGCACTCTGTGAGAAAACTTGTAACGTTACGCCTTTCGCGACAATTTAAATTATTTCTCGTTAAACGACTTGCTCCTATATTTTATTAAGCAGAATGCTCAAAAAATATTTATATTTATTAATATAAATTATAATATAATTTATTAATATAAATATTTATTTACATAAATTTATTTACAATAATCGTTATTTTTATAAGAATATTGTTATTATTAATTTTATGTTGATATTATGAATTTTACTCCAATATTTCACTTTTTATTTTTTATTAAGTAAAATTTATTTTTAGTTTTTTTATTATTTTTTATTATTTGCATTTTTTGAAACATTTTTTGAATTAATTAAATTTCTGCTCTCGAATAAATACAAAATTATATCAATAATAAAATTACTAATATTTGCAAAACATAAAAAACAAAAGATCGTATGTTTAATGACGATTTTTAGAAGCGTCAAAAAATTGGAAGAACCGATAAATTATATAATATCACAAATTATACCGTGTTTATTAACGCACAATTATATTCTATAGAAAAACCTTTCTATAACATTTTGGTGCAAATTTAAATTATTTTCTACTAATTGCTTTTATCATAATAAATGCGGAGCGGAATATTTCGGAAATATTTATTTACACATATGATAATCATCTTAAAATTAGTTTATTTTTATACATTAACAATGATATTATTAATTTTATTAATCCAATTTTACACTCTTATTTTCCGTAGGATTTATTTTGAAATTAATTAATTCCTCGAATGAAAAACTATATCAATAATAAAATTAATAAAACTTAAAAAAACAAGATTATAGAATATAACAAATATCGCGTGTTTAACGACATTTTTAAAAGTATTAAAAATTTGGAGGAGATGAAGATTCGTAAAAATTTAAATTAATTTCTATATTGAATGACTTGCTCTTATATTAATAATAATAAAACGAACAGAAAAAGAACATGTAAAAAATATTTATTTACATGTATGGTAAACATCTTATAATTAGTTTATTTATATATATATATATATATATATATATATATATATATATATATACACAGGGTGTCTCAGGTTTGTCCGGACAAACTTTGAGAGCTTATTTTACAAGTTGAAATAAGAAAAAAATGTTATATGAAATTTGTTTAGAAACGCTTTATTATGAAGTTATGACAGAAAATGTTCACAAACCAAAAATAATGAGACAAACGTGTTTATCCTCTCATTTCGAAGTGTTGTCCTTGTTGATAGAATAAGCTCCCAAAGTTTGTCCGGAAAAATTCGGGACATCCTGTATATATATATATATATATATATATATATATATATATATATATTTAACAATGATATTATTAATTTTAATATTCCGATACGTACGTATTGCTTTTCGTAAAATTGATTCAAACATTTTGAATTAATTACTATTTCTGCTCGATCAAATACAAAACTGTGTCAATAATGAAATTAATAATATTCGAAAGAATAGAAGATGTAAGATAAGAGGTGTCATATCTTTAAAGAAATCTTGAAAACCGTCAATATTTGCGAGAGAGCGCAGTACAATCGCGGGTATATACGAGAATAATCGAAATGGGGTTTCGCACCCTCTTCTTTGGTTCTACAAATTTACTCAACAGAATTGAAAGGCGTATCCCGCACTTTACCCGCACGAATGTCTCGTCGCAGAAGGAACTACTCGATATCGGGTCAGACGTTCCTTCATCGCCGCGTGAACTTCATCGACTTTTGCCCCTTCGCGCGCGAAGGCTCCCGGAAAATATCGAGGAATTTGCATATTTCGCGTCTCCCTCGAACGTGACTTGCTCACGATGTAACTAACAGACGTCATTATCTGTTTTATTTTTCATGTCTCCCATCGGGACGTCGGGCTGGCTGCGCTCATCCACGACTGCTGATAACTCTCCTCTCCTCTGTTTCTCTCTCTACTGGATGATGGTGACTGCGATGGTGACACATTAACGTACTGGTGATGGTGGCACGAATATACGCATGCATTTTAATATTTTCGCCTCATTTATTTCGCTTGGAAAAATATTAAAATTTGCAAACCGTTGTTACTCTTCCCCCTTTCGTTAATCATTCATTAATGCTCGAATTGCTAATATTAACAACGTTCGAAATCGCTCGTTATCGATCGCCGCGAACTTGACATGTATATCGCGGAACAATACGGATACTCCCGCGTCCCGATATCACGCACTATTGCAATCGTTTCGCCATTTCCTCGGAAACTTCTGCGACCGTGCCGTGTCCCTTTATTGGCCCCCGCACGCGAAATTATCGCACGAATCTGCATTTACATGCTGGAACGTCTGCGGTCCCGTCCGCAAACTCCATCGTCACAAACGATCTCCGCGTTAAATTCCGCAAATGTTGGCCGCTTCCCCTCCCCTTGCCCCCTTGCCCCCCTTTGCCCCCTCCCTCCCCCTCGTCTCCCTTGCCACGGCATGTTAAACCGTGTATCGTGTGTAAACGAAACGACGCCGCTTTCGCTGCTGGCGAAATTGTTACCATTGACAACCAACTGTGCCCGCTCCACCGAACCCAATCCACTTTGCCTGATCCACTCATTAATTACTCCCGATCCCCCTTAAATTGATCACTGTTGCGGCGGCGACGTCATTACGGCTCATTGATCGATTCTCGATATCCGATCGTCCCGAACTTGCCGCGCGTCTTTTCTCCCATCCTCGGATAATTAATGCACGCTAATCTCCCTAAATTAATCGTAACGCGCGTCTTGCGTCATCTGTCTCTTGAATATTTAATATTTCCATTTTTTTTTACGTCGCTCGTGGCTTTGTTTCGTGTTTTTTTAACTGGACAGCCTTGTTGTCAGGCACCCTGAAGACCTATCAACGTGCGGCCTGCGACGAGGAAACGATGACGTTGAAGTGCCCACCCGGCACGACCATCCTCGTCGAACACGCTCAGTACGGAAGAACGGGAATGTATGGTATCAGCAAATGCAACTCATCCGTTCCCCCGATAATTGCGGGGGACGAGCCGACGAATCACACATGCATCTGGCCGCAATCAGTGCAGGTATGTGCCAATGAAATTCTCTCGTTTCGCACAAGCGGATGCCGATTGAGCGCCTAGGATTTTCGAGTTCATTGAAAATTGCCGTGAACGCATTAATAGTTTTCATTGATTCGGAAGAGAAAATTGAGAGTAAAATCTTAAGAATGCTTTGTACTTATTTTCAAAATATTGAGAATTTAATGAAAATTGTACAGAATGTCCTTACATATTTAGAATATTCAGTACAATTTTTAAATCGATTCACTAAAGCGTTCAAGTTATAAGGATTTTAATTTGCACCGAATTAACATGTGTTCTTATAGGAAACGTATAACCACATCGATTCAAATGACAAAAACACATGGAAATAATATTCAGAATTTGTTTAAAATTTGCAAAAGTTTGGATACAGAGGAAATATTTGGTCAAATAATATTATACAAGTACTAACTGGTTAAAAAGATATTAAATATAATTCAATGAAGTTAGCCATGTATCTGTCACAAGGTGAAATTCTCTGCCAAAAGTTAATCATTTCGATTAACAAAATTCGGAATATTTCAGTAAAAACGCAATAAATATTAAAAAATACATCTCTGCACAATTTCTCATACTCAAAAGTAGATATTTGTCAATATTGATTTTCAGCTTTTTTTGCTGGGATTGTACATGCAAAACATCCTTAAGGATGTATTGGACGGACCGTCTATCTCAAAAGTTAATCCAAAGTACCAAAAAATTAAAGTTGGGCAGAATACGAATTCTAATTGATCAAAAATTTTTTAAAAATCACGAAATCATACTTTAAAGTATTCTTTAATATAAATAGGTCTTAATTTCCAAGAAAATGTTGCCACGTTTTATCATCAATATTACGTCAAATCGATAATCACAGTTATTTTTTAATAATAATTTCAAAACGAGCAAGTAAATCGTTTTAAAACTTTGTGGGAACATTTTTACATGTATGAAGAATATAATATTACAAAATGAAATTTTTATCATTGTTTTTTTGTAGTTTGTGAATAATTGATTACCTGTCTCTTGAACGTTTACATAAGATCCTATGTTAAAATCGCAAAATTTAAAAATTAATAACTTTTAAAGGACCAAGTAAAAAAATTTGATATAATTCATGACGATTTAGAATGTTATTAAGAATGTTAAATTAAAAATTCACGGTGATTGATTGTAATATATCTTCAATGCATCCTTAAGACGATTGCACGATTTTCCTCGAAATATATTTTTATTTGCGAAAAGAGAGGACTTTAATTTTCTCATTTATATTTCACTTCTTTGTTTTTTGAAGGGGGATTAAAACTTTTTGAGGACGAAATATTCACCGAGTGTCCGACCCTAATAAAATAATTTGATTAATTTTCTTTTAATTAAGGATATCATTAACTGTATATAATTTTAATGTCAAGAGTACTAAATAATTTTGTCAATCTTGACATGTAATTGACGTTTAAAGTGATACGTTTCTTCTTACGTTCCTATTAATTAATGACATCATTAACATATATCATTTTAACATCAGGTATCAAATAATTTCGTCAGTTTTTGAAATGTAATTAGTGTTTAATACGACATGTTTCTTCTGTAATAAGCCAAAAGCTTGATTACACACACACAAATTCTCGTGTATTTCTCGTGTAATAACGTAGCGTACGAACTTGGCAAATTTGCAAGACTTGGTAAGACATGATCCCACCCTTTCGCGGAAAGTTTAATATTTGGACGTACTTTAGATTCCGATTATCTTCCAATTCTGCCTCTTCAGCATCCAAAAGGAAGTTTTGCGGAGTCTAAACTCCCGATTGCCTAAACTCGAAAGTTTCAAAGAATCCGAACGTCGATCAAATATATAGGATACGTCATATCCGTTTTATTATAACCGACATTACACGATTGTACCTTGATATATAGCTGACAAGGGATCTTCGCGAGCTGGAAAATTCTGGTTTCGATAAACCGCATATAACAATTATTATCTAAAAATGTTTTATACAAAAGTTTTATTGTAAAAATGCCTCTATTTAACCACATTAATAAAAATTTTTTTAAAAATAATTCTTAAAAAAATTATTTTTTAAAAATTTTATTAATGCGATTAAAAAGATTAAAGATACCTTTATGGCAAATCTTTTATATGAGAAACATTTTTTGATATCTCGAATAGTTTTGAAGATTATTAAGATTAATAAGAAAAGCAAAAGGCTATTCTTCATATGAAAGATTTCATCTCCTAGAATCGTTTTTGAGCAGCAACTGAAAATTTTTAAATTCATCTATTTATTCTCCCTGCCCTCTTTCATCAAAAGCAAAATTTTCCTTTTCGAGGCTTCACATTTACACGACAATATTTTATTTATTTTTCGATTTCGCTTTCGAAACTTCAAAATATTCAACGTCTTACTTTTATTGGTTCCTCGTTTCTAATCTAAGAAAAGGACATAGATGATTTATTCTTCTCGCGCATTCTCGTTTTCCCTTCTACTTCGCATGGTTACCAAACCGGAAAGAATCGTAAACCGGATCCACCCTTCCTGGGGGGGTTAACCTCCGTACGCTTCAAGCCTCGTAAACTTTGTTCGGATGCGTGACCTCGTGCATGAATTGCAGTACATTCTTATCTTTTGGAAGATTTCACGTAGACTCGAGATTGCCGCAATCTTTCCTATCACGATTATATTCCCCTATTTACGTATTGTTAGATGTAACACGAAAAATGCGACAATTTAAGAATATTCTTGCTACAAAATTAATAATTACGAATTAACTGATTATTAGTAATTTAATGTTTCACAATCTCTCAAATACGTGTTTTCTTTTTTAATTTTTATTTTATGTTTTACAAAAAAGATACTACATTTATTTCTGCTTGACATACAATGTGAGATGAGTATAAATTAAATAAATTCGAATGTTTGGTGTGGCTGAAAAATAATATGGTAACTTTGAAAATTATAATTTTCTCAAAAAAGGAAATAAAAAAATTATTACATGTAAATGAATAAATCTACGCAAATTCGTTTTTTTTTCGTTTATGCAAAAGCAAGCCAATTTTCCTGCATAGAGAAAGCTGCCGCGCGATGATTTGTATAATCACTTTTGACACTTCACAACAATGTTACATTTAATTTTATCTATTCACATCATCATAATAAAAACATCCAACAATAGTTTTTTAAAATATATCTTATATTATTTTTGAATTTTTTAATAATATTTATATAATTTTTTTATAATATTTTTTTATATATGTCGTAACAAGTGTGAGAGATTTATTTCACAACGTTGCATTTAATTTTGTCTGTTCGTGTCATCATAATAAAAACGTCTGACAATATTTTTTTTCTTTATATATTATTTCTAAATTTCTTTACATACTTTATAATATTGTAACAAGTGTAAAAGATTTACGCTCACACGTCCAAGTATCCTTAAATGGTGCTACACAAGTTTATAGATCTACGGCAAAGTGGAGATATTTTATGCTCTCGCTTCCTTCCCCGCGTTTCCTTCCGGATGGTTTCAAAATTGCCGGTGAGTTCGCTTTAAGCGCGTCGAAAGGCGAGAGCCTTCGTCAAAGGCGATGAAAGTGCAGCAACTAAACTAAAATGCAACTGTAAACACCTTCAAAGAAGATTGCGCGAAATTTTCGCGAGGGTGATGATCGAACAAATCAGAAAGCCCGGGGAGAATCTCCCTCTCTCTTCGTCCACGCGCGATTTACTATCTCAACAGGGATACACGGCACCGCGGGGAGAATGTGCCCGCACGAAAAGTTGCTTTCTTTGAGCTTAATTCACTGGCAATTACTTGGATCCCTCGCGCGAGGGCGGAAGGGGAGAGATACGTCCCGCGTCGGGTTAAAATCTTGGTTTGCGGAATAATGGCAACTGACCTGAAAACGGCGCATCCCTGTGTTTCGCGAAGCATGCGACTGACAAATTCGTTTGAGCTAAAAAGAGACGGAGGAAAGAAGAGAGAGCAAGAAGGAGGGATAGAGGAAGCGATGTAACGAGGTTGTCGGTGGCTGAATAACGTGTTCTTAGAGACACACGCGACCCTTCACATATATATATATATATATATATATATATATATATATATATATATATGTACCTTCTTTCGATATTAAATTATCCATTTACGGAGCTTGCAATTTGATTTCGGCCAAGCGGAAATCGAATATAGGATTAGCACATTTTCGCTGTCGCATTTCGCGGTTGAAATCCTTTCCTCTCTACGGGATTTTTAAATATAGGGTACCTGGGAAAATGTGAGAAATAGATTTCTGAAGGATTTCTTTCGTACCTGGAGAAATCAGGGAATTCTCGTGGAATTTTATTGGGCCTCGGGGAGTTTTTTCAATCATTCTCTCTTTGATAATTTTGCTCTCAGAATGTCTACTTCCTAAAAAGACATGAGAAGCCTGGAATTCTCAAGAATTCCCTTTTGTATTTGGCAAAATCAGCCAATTCTCATGGTATTTTATTTTATTGAGAATCTCTCTTTCTCAGGGAATTTCTTTAAATAATCTTCTCTTTGATAATTTTGCGCTTATTGTAAATAGTCTTGAGAGGTTTTTCCTTTGTACGAGTGAAAAACGCTAGAAAATATATGTATATAATAAAAAAATTATTTTAGAGCGTTGCACTAAAAAATCTTTGAAATATTTTCTTTACTTGAAATTTTGAATAAAAATATCTGAAAGATCAGAGAAATTTTTTTAAGGAACTTTTTTACAAAATTGCTCATATTGTAAACAGTCGGCAAACCAAGTGAATTATGCAAATATATTATAAATATACATCCATCACTGTTTATATATTCAATGTCTCGATAAAATATTGAATCTGCAGAAAATATTTTTTCTTGTAATTTTTAGTGATGAAAAAATGAAAATATTTTCCTAGTAAAAAATGTTTATCTTACGACAGCTTTCGCAGCTTTTTTAGTACATTTGCAAATATAACACTTGAAGCTTAAGTGGCTCTGTGTTTGTCCCG